AACGAAGTTAAGGTATCTGATATCTGATTTTACAGAATCCAAACTAAATTAAATAAACCGGTAAGGTGAACTGGAGTGAAGAATTACATGGTAATCAAGGCAAATCAGTGCATTTGTGCATCTTAATGAGATACAGAAACCATCAGGAAAATCAACCACGGGGACCTTCTCATCATCATCGATCTACCAAGCACGGAAATTCAAGAAGGGAATAAATGTAGAGCACAAAAACATAACCAGAAGACAATTAGCACAGGTATTAAGTTGACACCAAATGCATCCTCTAATAATTAAATTCATTGAGAACACATTGAATAAGACCACGTTCTGCGTGACAAATGATACAGCCAAGTATCATTTCAAAACTGTTTTCAGATTTCTCAATCGCTTCACCTGGACACTGATCAAACAAAAACAATAAAATAAAAAAAACCATTGCTTGAGCACCAACAGAACAGAAATTGTTCATTTTGTAAACCCAGAAGCATTACACTTGACAAAGAAAGCGAAATACTCACAGTGGTTAACCTTGAACAGGTGATATAACCACACAATGCCTATTACAATCCACAGCTTTGGGAACTGGAAACCCATGCTCTTTCAATGCCTACAAAACCAATAAGCAAAAGTTTCACCACGAACCACTTTAATAAATTTGAATAAAAGACAACAGCAACAGCAAAGGCAACCTTTATAGATGCGAATTCTTTCAGTGTAGCGAATGTTGACAAGTATAGCCAGTTACAACTAGGCAGGTGCCTCAAATAACCCCCCTTGGACTTTGCAGCTCTAAAAACTCTTTCTGTCAAGCCCAAGTAGCCTCATTGCCAAAACAGTATCATCCTCCAAAGCAATCTCATAAATATCAGATTCTTTGTCAATCCGTATTTAAATATCAAATGCTTGTAAGATTTTAGAGAAGCACGTGCTTGACAACAGTAAACAATGATTTATACGTGAAGACGACAGTATAAATTTGGAATCAGCAAAATCTATCACAACCGCATGTCAAGCGCAATGTAAAAATCCTGCCAAATCCAAGGCCACCAATATCAGTGCTAGAAATGCAAAACAATGAAGTCAATAACTGCATAGATTTTTGCATTTCCTAATCAAACCTTCATATGTTTCCTTTATTGCACTAATTGATAAAACCATCCCAAAATTCACCAGTAATCCCTACAAGAACAAGAACCGTCTCTAAAATGGTGAAAGCGGCTGCAGTCCCTCACAACAATGTCTCTTTCAAAAACCTTTGATATTAGCTTAATTGCAAAATGACAATCTGCGCATACTCTTAAATTCTTAATAATCCTAATTTGGGTCCCTGGTAGTGTATTAATGAGCATAAAAGCAATTGCAATCTTCTCACTATGATAAAACAAAGCACTTTCCTTTTCTTCGTCTTCAATGTCTGCAAGCACATTTGCCGTGTGAGGCACATAGCCTGCCAATTTCAACTTCTTGGCTATCTCCACTAACATTTTATATATTGCCTCACTTTGAGGATGAGTCCTATCACCCATAACAAACTCAAGGACATGATTTCCCAACTCTACAAGGCTATACCCTGGAGTTTTTCTGACTCCTTCACTAAGCATTGTCCTTCTCACCTCATGTACATCTGACCAACGCTGCTCGGATGCATACAGATTGGAGAGGAGCACATAATCTCCGCTGTCTTTAGGCTCCAACTGTAAGAGTCGGGCTCTTGCAAATGCTCCTAAGCCTAAATGCCCATGTATTGTACAAGCCCCTAACAAGGTCCTCCAAATAACAGCATTAGGCTGCAGTGGCATATCCTGAATATAATCATATGCTTCTTTCAACAAGCCTGCTCTACCAAGCAAATCAACCATGCAACCATAGTGCTCTATTCTAGGCACAATATCATATTGCTCCTTCATCCTTTTGAAGTATTCAAACCCCTCACTAACTATACCGCAATGACTACAAGCATATAAGACCCCAACAAAAGTGATCTCACTAGGCACCAATCCCTCTCTCTCCATATCCTTGAAATGCTCGAGAGCTTCTTTACCGAATCCATTAACAGCCAATCCAACAATCAAAGAAGTCCAAGAAACCACATTCCTCTCAATTCCCATCTCATCAAAAATCTTGCGTGCTTCACTAATGGTTCCGCACTTTGCATAAAGGTCCAGAAGGGCATTATTAGCATGCAAATTTTTGTTGAGACCAACTTTCACCATAAACGCATGAGCCCTCCTGCCCAAGGCCAACGTTGCAAGCTCAGCACAGGCAGACAGCAAACTAACCATAGTGAATCCGTCCGGCTCAACACCTTCAGAACCCATTCTCTTATAAAGTGTTAAAGCCTCATTGGGTTTCCCGTTCAGAGCAAAACCATTAATCACAGAATTCCAAGCCACAATATCCTTCTCAGGCATTAATTCAAATACTTTGTACGCACTCTCGAACCGGCCACAAGCAGCATACATATGAAGCAAGCTGTTTTGAACAAACAACAATGATTCGAACCCATTTTTTGCAACAAGGGAATGTATCTTTTCACCCACTTTAACATCGACCACCTTAGACACGGCCTTCAAAAGAAAAGGATATGTGTGTGTGTCAGGTTTCAGTTGCATGTGGTGGTACAATTCAATGGCTGGTTTTGGATTTTCACTCTCAGCATAGCCTCTAATCATGGTATTCCATGTGAAAACGTTTGGGCTTTGGATTTGGGTAAAAATATTGTGTGCATAGTTCATAGGGACTGAAAGGGAAACGGCAGTGTATATAAGGTGCTTGGCCATGTCTAAGCTGGTTACTGGGATGCCATGTCTAATAGAGAAGGCATGGATTTGTTTCAGTTTGAACCTGGAAGAGGCACAAATTTGCAAAAGGGCAATGCATTTTCGGACAACGTAAGGTGTTCGGTTATCTGGGCAGGAAGGATATGTACTCATCTTTGCATGTCTGCCGCGTACGCTTCCTTCGTTAGCTTCTGCTAGAAAATGTAATGACTGAAAGCATGGAAGAAGACAAAACAACAATGTCCCTCTAATTTCTGAACACTAAAAACGGATTGCAATGTCTTTGGACTGCCTTTGAACGTGTGTTCTTAAATATCACTTGGACTCAAAAGGCAACAAATTGATTTTTCTCTTGTTTTTGGGGTGAAATGAGAACGGTTTTCAATGATTGTTATCATTAGGCTTGAAAAAACATACTCTAATTTATACCTTTTCAATCCATTTGTATCTTTTACAAAAATACTAACATCAATCATAGGTTGCAACAGAAAATGTATAAATTTCCCAGAACTCAAAGTTCAGTAACTTAGATCGTGAAATAAGTTTAAGGCAGCTTCCATGGATTTATTATTTGATTTGAGATACATGGCCATCAATGCATTACAGATGGCCACTGATTATTCCAGTCCCCTCTTTATCACCAACGCATGAAAGGATTTCCCGAGGTTCTTATTAACTGCTTCAAAGCAAGCACTTACGAAATAAGTGTAAGTAGTATAGACGTCTGACTCAAAACCCAAACCCTTGCATCTCGAGAAAAAGATTAAACGCATCCTCATCTTTATCATGCACTCCATAAGCTGCCAGCATGGAATTCCAGGTAACCAAATCTCGGGTGCCAACAGCACCATCAAACACCCTTTCAGCATCTTCTAATGAACCACATTCCTAGTATCCAGTGAGTGTAGCGTTACATAAAGCATTATAAAATTCAAGGCCGTGTTTTATAATCTTACAGTGAAGTTGCATGGTTAACTTGTAGAACTTGTCATTGTCAAGCAACGTCAAAAGTGGAGCAAACGTGCCATCTTCAACCATAACACGTTCCTTCTCCATCCAATCTAATAGCCAAAATGCAGTGTCAAGGTCACCCACTTGCACAAAGCCATCAATAAGTGCATTCCACCAGACAAAATTACGCGTTCGGATGCCTCGAAACACATCTTAAGCATCTTCAACTCTTTCACACTCGGCATACATGTCCAATAAAGCGCTACCCGCATAAACATTCCGTTCATAACCGATCTTAACAACCAAGGAATGCACTTTTTGTCCAAGATCATATCGAGACGCGCGAGCTACCCCTTTAAGTATACTTCCAAAGGTAAAGCCATCAGCTTGAAAGCCACGTCTTTTCATTGATTTTAGAAAATCCCAAGCAGCTCTCAAGTTCCCAGAATCTACATGGGCAGTGATCTTGGTGTCCAAGGTAACGGTGTCTTTGTGGGGCATTTCGTCGAACAGTTTGCAAGCAAGATTTAAGACTTCGACGTCGCATATCCAATATCGGCTGAGGATGATGTTGGCGAAGTACCTATGAGAAAACATTCCTGATTTGAAAGCCTGGCAATGGGATATGAAAACGCTGTACAGAGCATGCCTTGAGCTCTCGATCACTGAAACCGATGGCCTCGTTCATTCTCACTGTCACGGTGACAAGTTTGGCTGATGTTGGTAAAATGCAAAGCAGCTAAGGTATACTACAGGCAAGCTGTTGTTTTAGCGCCACTATACGGGCCACGACCATATACTAGTGAGTTTGACAACGTCGCCCATGAATCGGCAAAACCGTGTTTAGTGCTCTGAAGTCTGGACATTCAGTCCTCTGTAGCCTTTCTTTTCCTTTCCTTTCTATAGATTGGATTGCTGCTACTCTTTTGAGGGCCCATTAGGGAACGCTGGCACATCTGCGGTTGGGCACCACGTTTGGGAGCGGGCACGAATAATCGCTGCAGCACCACGTTTGGGAGAGGGCACTAATAATCGCCGCAGCACTAATAATCGCTTAGAACTGTTCTAGACTTGCAATGCAAACTTAATCATTGATCCATCTTAGCTATCAATTGAAACTAAACTAAATCCCTTTTCGAAATAATCTTTATGTGTTGAACAAGAAGATCCGAAACCATTTCTAAAAATCCAATTCAGATGAGATCCAACACCGATTTTGGCAAGGAAAATACTGGCGAACACATCTCATAAGAATTCAGTAGAAAAAGAGCCAAAGGTCACATCTTTCTCATTCTTATATCAGAAACTCCCATCACCATCTTCCTCTTTCCCTACAAGATAAGTAGTTATAAAAAAAATATATATATGATATTCCATTCCAACATACTGGAAACAGGGACGAAATCAATATTGCGCTCTCAGCTTTCCTTATACTTCTTTTCATTTATGCCGCATACACAATGATTACACTTGGAGCTGTTCTTCACTTTTTTCTGAAACAACTTAATCGACACCATCTCTATCTGTCTATCGTTACAAAAAGGTTTCGCATATTTCAAAGGTTTCGCTTATTTCACCAGCTGCACAATTGTTTCTGAATTCGGGAGTTTTGGGAGGATTTGCCACCCTTGTCTTTGTAAGAGTTTCTGGATGCAAAACTCCTCCGGCCCCCGCGGGCTGCTGCTACAGCACGTTTTCTTTGCTTGTTTAGACTCTTGTTCAGTTCAGCATCATTTTCAATTGCACTTTGATTATCTTCTTCCTGGAAAATGAAACTGCTATTAGTTTTGCACATAAGAAGAGAAGGAAAGGAAAGATAAATGTCAGGTGATAGCGTGTTATAAAGCAGCGCAAACAGCATGGCACTAAAATTTTAACAATGAAGAGCAACAAACAAATTACGTTTTTTTGTTCTTTCTACCTAGAGGATCAAGTAGAAATAGAGAAGATATAGAAGATGATACTAAATGTAGTTACATACAACCACGCAAATAAACCAACACAACTTTACAATGAAAAGTACATCTGCATTAGGACTTTGTTTACAGGAAAGTTTTTTTTTTGTAAGTGAATTCCAAGAAAATGAATTCCTGAAAAGTAAATTTCAAGAAAAATAAATTCCTGAAAAGTAAATTATTTTTCGATAATTGGTAGTGTTATAAAAAACAATCAAAAGTTTGAGGATCAAATTTGATATAATCAGCAAATAATGACATTTCTAAATTTTTCACAACTTCCGGAAAGTGTTTTCCGCCCAAATTTTTCAGAAAAACACTTTCATGAAAACCAAGCCAAATTTTTAATTGACTAAAAAGTGTTTTCGTTTACTATCTTTCTTAACAGCAAACAAACACAAGAAAGTTTGGAAAGTGATTTCCCAGAAACCACTTTCTGAAAAACAAACACAAAAAATTTTGGAAAGCGTTTTCCTGGAAACCAGTTTCCAGAAAACAAACACAGCTAAAAAGAAAAATACTTTTATGAAAACCAAGCTAAATTTTTCTTTGACTGAAAAATATTTTTCGTTGACTAGAAAGTGTTTTCCGTTGACTGGAATGTTTTTTATTGACCAGAAAGTGTTTTTCATTAACCGAAAAGTGTTTTTGGTTGACCAACTTTTCTAATGGCAAACAAACGGAAAGTGTTTTTTATTGATTGGAAAATGTTTTCTGTTGATCAAATTTTCTAATAATAAACAAATATAAAAACATTTAAAATATAATTTTTTAAAACATAAAAACAAATATTATCTTTATTATCTTAGATGCAGATACTAGAAATGAAGAACACGAAGCATTTTCCTTTTGGGGGCATTTGTAAAGAGACGAGAAGAAATAGAGCTATTGTTAATTTAGTATGTGGTTAAACATCCCTCACAAGATATAATCCGACAGAAGGAAAATGTGATGCAGGGGAACCAAGTATTTAGTAAGAATACTAGGGATGTATTATAAAGATGCAATCATCCACAAGCTCAATATCTTGAGCCAATAAACTTTTGCACATGGGATGGATGCTAAGCCCCAAGTAACACTGTAATCCAAACCCCTAAAAAATGCATGCCTATATCAGGTTACACGTCAGACCAATATAAAAAATTTAACAGCTGGAGCAAACAATAATTGAAAATGTACCTTGTCGCTGTCATCTTGAATTTCAGGCCTGTTATCTTGACCTGCTTCGCAACTCCATTGCTTAACTTCTACCCCGTCCTCATCAGAGTTTGAAGTTTGCTCTTCCTGACAAGTAATTATTCTTAATAATTTAAAACAATCCAATGCAGGGATACAGAACAAAAACATTCTGGACAAGAGTACATAACAATAGACAAAAATCATTGATATATTGAATGCACGTGTGTTCCAGGAGATGCAGTTAAATAAACTGCAGACTGCAAGTCTGCAATTTAAATCTGGGCATCCTTCCCAAAGCCATGATATTATACTTTTTAGAATGGTTATCTTTGCATACTTGAATCCATCAATAAATATTTTGGCTTTAAATATCTTCAACATTGATCAGATATCCACTTGTTTCCTTGTCACTCTCCGTAAATTGCCTGTTTAAGAATTTTTCTTGCATGTCATGGTAATGGTATAATTATTTTTCCCTGATCTCTTTTGTTAAAGTCATTTATAAAAACATAAGAAGCTGAAAAAGGGTTTTGGTTCGCTAGCATGCAAAAGGGGCAGAGCACAAAGTACACAATCCATAACAGGGTCACCTTATCGATAGCGAAAATCATTCTGGTTTTTTTCCATTTTTTGATCAACTTCAAACAAATTAAATTCAACCAACTCTTGATCTTTAAAGTTCTACTTTTCCAATGATTAACCATCACTAGTAAGATAAATTTCTTATCATGTCTCAAGATACCCAAGAATCAAAACACCATATCCAAATTAATCATTGCAACTCCCTAACAGGCATGGCGAAGTTCCCACTTCCATGCCCGCAGATAATGCAATGTGTTCTTCCATCAATGTGTTCTGATGAAGCAACATAAAGTTCAACTACACTCAGTGATATCAAGAGGTTAAGGCCTCAGTTTGTAGCGAACTTCTAAGTCAGGCCCCTAAAATGGGTAGTGACAATAAAAGCCAAGAAAAATATACCTGCTCCTCCAAGTGCAAAGAACTTAAACCCTTGACATTTGCTTCCGTCGACTCAACAAACTGTTTATCTTCAGACTCCTCTCTGTCAGAGTCTGTATCATCTATGTCCTCTTCAATGAACTACAAAAAAATCGAACTTCATTCAGAGCTGTAATGCAAAATCATTTATGAGATTTTTTATTTCATTATACATGCTATCCCGGAACAAAAAGAAAAGGGTACAAGGTGGAACATCAAAAGCTGAAACCCAGCACCATCAAATACATACTCATAACTCCTAAAATCCACAACAAAGACAAAGAGTTTCACTGTTACATCAAAGATCTGTAGTGTCCTATTTTCCAACAAGATGCAGATGAACTGAGACATTATGGAAAGAGCATCACTTGTAGTTGATGGGACCAACACTGAGTTGAATGTTAAGGGTAAACAGACTAGATAGTAAGAGATAGAACCACAGAAAAATACAAGAGAAGTAATTTTCATAAAACCATCTACAAGATGTACCTACAAATTTGTGCATAGAGATGGCAAATGGCAATGATTCATGTTCAAGCGCATGCAATAGAAGACTGGCTTTCAACAGAAAAGAGGCAACTACAAGATAAGTAGGGAGCTTTCCAAAGGAATTAGACGTTGACACATGCCTATCAAATATCAAAGGTTGATGATACAACACAAAACCTTGGACAGACTGCAGTCATGTTCACTTAATATGAGTTGATGATAAAGTTGGGTGAATTCCTCAAAATAGCGCACCAGCACCAACGAAGCAGGATACAAGAAAAAATAAATAAAACCTCCCACCCCCATAGGACAATTTAATGAAAATGCTTCACCATACTTTCTCAATGCCCTCCTGATCTTTCCTTGAGAAGCCACTAGCAGCAAGTTCCTTGTCGAGAAAACCAGAAGATTTGGATATTGAGGAAAAGGATGGCCAGCCAGTTTCATCTGTGTCTGCATCAGAGCCTTCATTATCATCTGTGCTTACTTGAAAAGAGAGGTTAAACCTATGGAGACAATAGAAATTATTAACATGAGAAACTGCCTAATGGCTAGGAAATTTTGAAATATTCCAGAAGACAAGATGCAATCCAGGACTACCCAATTGGCAGTCTAAGTTTCAAATATCAGATTAGGAATTTAGCAAAATAACCACTGACTGACCTCTTCTGAAAAAACTTAAAGATGCATTCAACATCACGGTCAAAGTACCTGGGAAATGGGAATGTGTTAATGAATCAGTTATTGCATCCAACATATCAGAAAACTAAATTGACATGGTGATGAAGATGGGAGCTGAATAAGTACATCTGTGCATTCCGATGAGATACAGAAACCATCTGTGGAAAATCAATCACGGTGACCTTCTCATCATCATCAATCTACAAAGCACAGCAATTCACAAGGATAATAAATAAAAAGAAAAAAAAAAACAGAAGATAACAACAGCAAACTCTTAAAGTTGGTATCAAATGCATACCATAATGTTAAACTCATTGAAATCACAGTGAATAAGACCATGCTCTGCCAAACGAACAATAACGCCAAGTACCGTCTCGAAAACAGTTTCTGGATTTTGTAATTCCTTCACCTGGACACTGATCACACAAGCATTCAATAATCCATTACAACCAGAAAGAAAGAAAGAAAAAAGATATATGCATTTAGTTCACATTAGATTAGAGAAAGAAGGAGCAAGCAGCACTCACAGTGGATAACCTTGAACAAGTGACATGATCACACAATGCCTATTACAATCCACAGCATTTGGAACCGGAAACTCGTGCTCTTCCAATGCCTAACTCAAAAAATAACCAAAATCCATTATTAACCAATTAAAATACTACACAAATACCTACACGATAAAGCTAAATTATTTCTAAGAATTAATAACAACCCAATATAGTAACAAGCTAAAAGAACAAAGAAAACAAACCTTGCCTTAAAATAAATAGCCAAAACCCATTTTAATGAATGAAAAAGTAAAACACAAATTCGGCACGATAAAGCTAAATCCTTTCCAAAAATGAGAAAAATTCAAAGCAGCCCACTAAAATACAGCATATTCTTTGAGAAGAGAAAGGTTTACCTTCATAAAGGCGAATTCTTTAAGAGCAGCGAGTCTAGACAAGTAAAGCCAATTAAAACTAGAGCGATGCCTCAAATAATCCCTCTTAGACTTAACAGCTCTAAAAGAAACCCTCCCAAGCCGATGCAACTTCATGGCCAAAACGGTGCCGTCTTCAGCAGCAACCTCATAGATATCCGATTCTTTACCAGTGCCCAATTTACGACCGACACTGGAAATGACACCGCGATTAACGAGGGTCTTGATGGCGAGGAAATCGTAGCCGAGGTAAGTGAGACGGAAACCGTCGTATTTGGAGGAGTCGTGGTGAAGGAGCTTGTGCTTGAGGAGGTTCTTAAGGACCTTGTAGGTGCCACCGTGTTTTAGAGAGGCTATTCGGTCTATGAGTTCGGCGGGGACTATTTCGTGGTTTCGCATCCCCATCTCTACGGCTGTTAACACCCTGAAGTCGTCCTTCGAGAGATAACGTAACACGTCGACGTCTAGCTTCATGTTTGTGAAAGGAATCAATCAGACGATGGCGCCGCCGTTGTCGTCGTCTACCACAGCAGTAGCAGCCCGTAGGTCTCAGCAAGCAAGATAAACTAGCAAGGTAAAGAAAGAGAAACACCGTTGCTTGGTCATTATACACTACTAAGTGGTGGGCCGGGCTGGGCCGGGCTTTACATGCTAATAATAAAATTAATTTTTATTTTAGTTTATCATGTTAAATAATAATAATAATATTAATAATAATAGTAATGTGATAGATTTTCCAAGCTTCAACCATGAAGCTCCCCCACAGCCACTCATGCAAGCATGCATAATTCTATACAGTACATAACATTAAATGATTTCATTTTTATCTCGTTATTTACTACTCTAATCCAATCGAGTTAATAAGATTGGGCACAACAAATCAGTTCAAGCCCTGGCTCGGCTCAAGCTAATTTCATGTCAAATTAGGTTAAAAATTAATGCGATCACAACATAATCGCTTTACAATTTATATTTTAAATCTTGAATCATACCATGAAGGCTAGCAGGTCCAGTGAAAGCAGACATGAACAGGACCCGTTAAAAAGACAATACAGGCATAAATGACATAACACGTAAGGCTGTTCAATGCTTGATATCCGCGCGCGCTACTAGGAACAGGTCCAAGTTCCTATTTTTTAAAGGAAAATTGTATTTAGCGTCTTGTAATCTGATCTAAATCGTGATTACCAGCCCTAATTTGAAAGATTATGTTCTACATTTTACATCAATAAAGATTTAAAACATGATCAAATTTACACCCCTGCATACCATACCAAACACCATAAAGTCAAAGCTTAGAAATTAGCCAACCATGCAGAAACTGTAGCATCTTGCAGTTCTTGGCTCCTTTTTAGGAAATATTTTAAAGAGTTTAATTCTTGACTCCTTTTATCGATTCAGCATTCAATCAACCCAAAAGAACCTTCACATTGCCTCTCTGAAGCAACAAACACCTTGAATTTGTGCGCCCATTTCATTCATGTAAAATATGGAAAGGCAGTGTCTATTATAAAATATAGCCAAGGACTCCACCACCCTATAACCCAACCTTGCAGAAGAAATAGCAACTCCTCTCTGACATGACCCAGACAAAAATTGCCCTTCGGAAATATAACAGCGTTTAAAACATAAATATCTCTATCGCAGGTCACATGGTATATAGTTTAAGACAAGGAATGATAAACCCAAGACTAGGACAAAGTAGATGAGTCTGATGCCCGCTTTTACGAGCCAAATCCCAAGAGAAATCTGTGATGTTCAAAGCAACTTGGAACAAAGCACGTTTGCGGTGCATGCAAATGTAGCTTTCCTCATTCCTCCGCAGCACTGGCAGCACTTAAATCCACACTGAGGTCAAGAACCTGTAACATGAAAGGTAGGATTGATTGCAACGTGGATTCCAGCACGGAAAAAGTGACAAGCAACAAGAAAAACACCATATCCGATTAACTTTAAATGATGTACAAGAACTGATTACCTTTGATGCTTAGTTAGGATCTGGTTCAAATATTGCCCCAGTTCAATTTTAAAATTCGAATAGAAATTAAATGCAAACCCCCAGTTTTGTGCCTCCTCCAAAGGTCAAGGACAAACCTTAATTAGATGTTCCCCTTGACATAATCAAACCAAACAATCAATGGCATGCACATTGGCAAAAACTTATACCAACGAGATAGAATTCAACAGTGAATAGTTTTCTTAGAAGTCAATCACGTGGCTCTTTGTATGAGTTGAATTGATTAACATCACAATTGTGTGCATAACAGAATTGCAGCTATTAACATCACAAGCCTAAGATGGTGGAGATTCCACAAAGAGTAGTTTTTTACCACAAATGCTCCCAAAACCAGAGAGTGCAATCTTACCTTTCCAGTTATCATGGTATACATGTTCAGAACATCTGTAACAGTTGACTCAAAGTGTGTTGTGGCATCATAGCTCTGCCAAACATTAAGGAACTCGAATTAGGGTGAATCCATAAAGGAATCATAACTAGCAGCAGCATTATTCAGATAAAAAAATTTCACTCACTGTTGAAATAAAGCAATTGTCCAATGAAGGTTCATTGACCGGTTCATATCTGTCATAAATATCGAAGAATATCTCATCAACAGGACCTAGGAGGTCAATTCCAGGTTTCAATTCAGTTTCAGGATGATCAGTCTCTGCCTCGGTTGATACAAATGCAATGAATTTTCCCTTTGGAGCAACATTGTGGGTATAAGAACAGCAGAAAAGGTACCTGCTCAACACAGAAGCCTCACAAAAATTTAGCACAGAGAGAGGCAATGTATTTCTTCCAGCTGAGTCACAGTAATGAAAGCTTCCCCTTCAGATAGACCTTTCAATTGGAGTAAGCAATTCAACTGTACCCCATGAATGTCATAAAACAAAAACGAAGCTTTCCAAGACAGTAAAAAAAATGATAAGTGGGCAAACGGATTTCAGAGTTTTGCCAGGAAAAGGCTATATCAAAGGAAAAAATACACTAAACCAGAAAGCAATAAATACAAAAATAAGAGCACCTAAACTGCAACAGACAAGATACTTAACTATCATGTCCTGTAAAAAACACAACTCAAAAGTAGGCTGATAGATGGTAACACTAAAAATCAATAATGTTGAAATGTCCAATTATAATCCTTCAATATTTTACAAAATAATATGGGAATGGAAAGGAGAACATTTGTACAACTGATCAAGTATCTAGAACTCACATGTCTGATCTGCGACCCAGCTGCTTCTGTGGCAGGATAACCTGCACTGAATGAGATTCATCGGTGCTTGGTATTGGGTGGCTCATAATGGCAATTGCCCTTGCAACCCTACCAACCTTCCTAACCTGTTCAAATGCATTCAACTTTCTGTAAATAATGGAAAATTCATTTTTTATCTTCAACACACACACACACACAGATTCTGGCTTCAATAACTATTTTTTTGTCCTCCATACCTTGTTGGGTAAGTAGGAAGGATCACAAACAACTTTCTTGCACTTAGCAGTTTCCCCTTCTGATGTGACACCAGCAACTTTGCCTTCCTCGTTGAACTCTACCTGAAATTACAGCAATTTGCCACTTCCATGTTATATTTCCAGTCTACAACAACAGTCATATGCACGCATATTTTTATCAGCATATATAGAGTGACGCAATTGCACAAGAAATAACAAATCAAATTTCAGAAGCGTAAACAAGTACCTTGCACTCAGGTTTATTCAACATGTATGTGCCTCCATAAACAGCACTAAGCCGTGCAAATGCCTGGGTGGAACAACACCCCCAGATAAATGTCATTATTTCAGTATATAACAAGTTAGCATGTCAAGGGTTGAGACAGGTGGAGAAAGAAGGGGTAGGAGGTAGGCAGGGAGAGAGTGAGCGAGTTACCTGTGGGAGCTCTCCTAAACCATACAGAGGGTAAATATATGGTGATCCTCCTTGAAAACGGGCAAGGGACTCCGAATATAGCTATCACATAATCAGGAGGAAAATTTTCAAATAACACATAAAATAAAAAATTTCAAATGTCACCGAGATCAAAACATTTGAACGAAAACTATACTTAGATTATCACCTTCATCCTTTTAACAGTATCCAGTGCAGGTTCATGTAGGTAGCGATCATCTCTATGTAGTGCCAATGCATGACCGATGAAGTCTATGGTATTGTCATCAAGACCATATTTTCTGACAAAAAGTTAACTGGATAATAAGAAAAAACTGTGCTCACCGAGTTTATTATTGAATACAAATTAACTCACAGCAATCCAAATAACTTCTAAGATATTTTTCAAACCAAAATAAAGGTATTGAACATGACATGAGAATCCATAAAAGCCGCGGTTAGGTATTACAATGTAGCACACAAAGAGGCATGGTTGCAATATAAAACCAGGAGCAAGAACATACGCAATCAGTTCTCTCGTAGTCACTCTAGTCAAGTCCATTCCCTCGTGGGTTTTAGGATCATTGTCTTCGTAATTCTGGACATATATGAAAAACTTGCGAGCACGGCGCTTTTCAAAAATACCCATGAGAGGAGATTTCAGTGCCTCCATATCAGTTGCGGGCACCTTGTGGACCTATTATAGAAATCCATACCGACAGCTTTGAGTTAAAAACATATCACAATAGAAACTAATGAGATCAATCAACCCCTACTGAGCTTGAACATAGTATACCTTTCCCTTGTTGAAGACGTAGCTGCCATCCACTGCTTTGAAGTAAAGATACTTGGTAACATCTGTGTGAATGAGGACACGTACAAGATTGCCATTTGCCATCATAAACTAGCCATATGGAGACACATGAAAAAAGAGCAGAGATTATAAAATGACAAGTTCAATAGAATAACTGGTCAGATAACAGGAAATGTTGAGAAGCAAAGATGGAAAGACACCTTAGGAACCATGTCAACATTATAATCCCTGCTTGAGCCCAGATGTGCTGGAGGCTTATCGTTTCCCCTGAACCTCTTCCAGAGCTGTAGATAAATTAATTCACAATCAAAACCGATCACTCACAAGAGTAGTGAGTAGCAGAAAAACAAAAAGTGATTGGCAAATGCAGATCATGAATAGCGAGACCTGAATGAGGTTCAGCGACGCAGACTCTCCCCCGTAGTAGTCATTCCTATCCATATGCAGGACCTGACTTAACAAGACATGCACGAAACGTAATCATGTTAGCATCAACAAATACACTCTTACAAGTGCATAAAACTCAATATGATACAAATACAGCAGAAAGTTGTCAAAAGGAGAATACAGAAATCATGTACAGATATTTGCAGTAATTCCATACAAACAGATCCATTTCCTACGATTGCAACTCGAAAGTCAAAGGAAGGATGGTCATGATTGAAGAGAAACCCAAAACCCAGCAAACGATTCAATGAAAACCCATTTCAAGACTTCGCATAAGAAGCTAAAGAACCAGAAATCAATTCATGTTTCTCCAAAAACATCTGAAAAGTTTTCATTTTTTAAATCAATCAGTAAATAGCTCCAGTAAAGCCAGAGTCTTTGCAAATCCAAACAAATATAAATGATCAGATCAACCATTAACAATCAGCTTGATCTGTGTAGG